AAATAACGCAACTGCGTTTGGTGCGTAATACTCTCTTTTCTTTAGGGAAAATGAAATGTTCCCAATTTATTTATGGTGTAATAAATATTCGGCTTTAAAGTGGTTTTGGACATCAGAATATCAATATAGCTCATGGGCGTGAAATAAAAAGTGTGCAGTGACGTATCATTGGGGGAAGGCATGTAGCAAAAATTGGGATTCTTAAATGTGAGTTACTTGAGTTCATGTTTTGTCAAGTAACTTGAATAGCTTGGAAGTCCATGCATTGATGTCGCCTATGTTTGTCGAGCTATAACTAGTACTTAATAAAATTGCTTTGTGAATTCTGTATGTTTAGTGGTTTTCGTGAAATAGGGGCGGCAAAGTCAAGGACCGCCCGGGTCGTCACTGACTTCAGCTACTCCTCTAGTTCATTGCGATCTACTGCCTTCAGTATACTCCACGTGCAAATGGCCATGTGGGCATGCGCAGACAGTTATCTCACATTTAGATTGACTGTTATAAGTTGAAGTATTACCATTGGATACATGAATGTCCCGAGCTGCACAGCCAGATATATTTCATTAAACTTTATATTTATGTCCAACAGGTTCCCTGAGCTCTTTTGATGAGAGTGAGTTTGACTCCCAGAGTGAGATGGAAGAGTCCACCACGTCCCTGACCAGCATCTACCCTTACCTCTAGTGGAGAGACAGACGTCTGTCATACAAGAAGTGACATGTCTGTTGTAATACACAGTAAATGTACATTTCCTTTCCATGTCATCCACATTCTACTGGTGAAAATGTCTCAGGTGAAAATGTCTCAGGTGAAAATGTCTCAGGTTTAGAAAACCCGTGTTTTTAAATAATTTCTTTATTTAGGATTTAATCTAGTTTATTTATTTTTTTAGAGAGAAACCCATTGTTTTCAGTTTTTATTTTTTGCCCCCCCACCCCCCTCCCACCCCGTAAAAGTTTAAAAAGGACTATTCAATCATTCATTCCTCCAGGCAGAAAAGCCTTTAAAAAGCCATGGTTGCAAGATTTTGGTAAAGATTTTTTTAAAGATTTTCGTTGTATGTTTGCTTAGAAAATTGTCTGGGTTAATCTGTTACATTTTGGGGGATTGAAAAATTCCAAGCTGATGAGTAAGATTGTATCATGGAGTCTAGGATAGGTCATGGCATTTTAAAGTAAGTTTCATCTCATGAGAAAAATAACGTTGAGCATACAACTCTTGCTTACTTAGTTAGCCTAGAAAAATAACGTTGAGCATACAACTCTTGCTTACTTAGTTAGCCTAGAAAAATAACGTTGAGCATACAACTCTTGCTTACTTCGTTAGCCTAGAAAAATAACGTTGAGCATACAACTCTTGCTTACTTCGTTAGCCTAGAAAAATAACGTTGAGCATACAACTCTTGCTTACTTCGTTAGCCTAGAAAAATACATTTGGTAAAGCTTTTTTTTAATTTTAATTTTTTTTTAATGACAAAAAATGCTTTTAAGGTAAAGCATAGAGAATGGGAATGAGAATGTTCAAGTACCTCGATGGGAACGAGGTTAACTGTTCTTCAAAATGTGAAGATATGGATCATCTCATAATACTTCATGGATAATTTAGTACTGCTCCCATAATAACAACAAATCATGTCAATGTGCTAAAAATTTTTAAAAAATTAATGAATATTGTCCCTTAAGAATGAAGAGATTAATTAATATTTCCTGTTTGAATGTTGTTTCTCCAATTATTGAAATGTGCCTTAACTTGGCTTGTTTTCACTCATCAATTTCTGTGAACGGAATAGTTTGGTTTATGTGTAATGATTGTTTCAATAAATAAACTTTGTTTAAACATCTTTGAAATATTGTGTTCTTTTAATTGATATCTCGTACATGTACAAAAAACATCAGTGGCATCTACATACTGTTACATGTTGTTGTTGTTGGTGGGTACAAATCAAATGATTAGAATAATCTTAAAATACAATACATTATAAGACTAAATTTAGAATTTTTATTTATCCTACATTGAAAGCTTGACTGGTCATCTCTGTTTAGTATTGTTAACGGTGATTGCAAGGAAGACAGTTGGACTGGGACTTGAACTCATACAAACCCATTTAAGTCATAAATTGCTCAGCTATTAAATGTCCAGTACTTCTGTCACTCCAGGGAAGTAAGAGACCTGGCCTGTGGCCAATGAAGCAGACATCTAATGACTTTCCATAACTTTCCATACTTATCGTCAATATAATAGATTCCTGGTTGGTTTTTTAAATTATATTATTCAATGTACTTTTTGTGTGAAGATAAAAGACCCTGTAGATATGCTCTCTGTGTTATCAAACAAAATCTATTTTTTTTAGTTTTTAAACATTTATAAAGGTCAAACAGTATGCCAAAGGTCAAACATTATGCCAAAGGTCAAACAGTATGCCAAAGGTCAAACAGTATGCCCAAGGTCAAACATTATGCCAAAGGTCAAACAGTATGCCAAAGGTCAAACCGTATGGGCAAAGGTCAAACAGTATGCCAAAGGTCAAACAGTATGCCAAAGGTCAAACATTATGCCAAAGGTCAAACATTATGCCAAGGTCAAACAGTATGCCAAAGGTCAAACGGTATGGGCAAAGGTCAAACGGTATGCACAAGGGGTGTTTGGTATGTTGTTTTTATGTAATGATTTATTTCATTATTTACGGTACCGGTACTCACTATTTGCACAATCTATTTTAATTTGCAAGATGCCAGAATTACTTTAGGCAATGTTATCTACAAAACAAACACTACCCTCATAGTTTGCCTTCAGCTAATAAAAAAATGTTTCCTTAATTTTTTCCATTTAATCTGTCAAGTAAATCAATACCTTAATGGGCATAAAAGAACACTCATATATTTGTAGATTTCAAAGTATAAATTAACATTTTTATATTAACAGAACAGATCATTTATAAAGAACATGTAACTTATTCACATGATTTGAGATATTATGTTTGAGAATGTTATAATACTTCCTGACAGATCACAAAATAATTATTATACACGAGTGCTAGCGACCTGTTAAATACAAATCTCACTTAGATTTTTGGCAGGCTTAGCTTTATGTTAACTTACCACAAGAATAGAATTCAGAACCAGGGCGTTAAAAGGTTTGTTCCAGAGCTGTGACATCACACATTAATAGTGGAAGTTATCAACAACCAATCATTTCTGCAGGATCATGTTTGTTCCACTTATCCAAAAAACAGGTTTTAGGAAAACAAGATGCAAATGTTTCTTCATTTTCAGAATCTGTACTCATCTTAAACACAAAATGTTCATTACTGCTTTGATAAGATCAAACTTTCTGATAGAACAAGTCAACATATATGTTGACAGAAATGGTTTAGGTCTACTGTGGAATGCAAAACATTATGTTTGTAGTTTGAATTTATCAATGAACATTTGCTTTCAGTCATGTTGAATTGTTCTACCGACCCTGATATAACATTAGTGTAAGAATGTAGACCACAAAATATTTTTGAACAGGGAGTGAATAAAGAATATGTTTGGTGGTTATTTACCAAACACAACATTTAAATATTATAGGCATTGGGATCACCACAAAGTTGAACAGTCCAACATCACGGAGTTTCTCAATCTTTGATTTATTTATTTAGAGCTACAAATTTCTTTGAACATATTCAACACGAGGTTCATGCAGCAAACTCTTAGAAAACTCAGTAAGTGTTGTTTTGTAGAGTGCCTTCCCTTGTAAGGTTAATGACGACCCGGATGTGATCTGTAGAAAAGAAAATATTTTAAAATTTACACCAAGATGAAACCTTAGTTGATGGAATCTCCCTTTTTGAAATATCTTTTATATCTGCTAGGTTCATGTGAAGCTATTTAGTTTATATAAAATGAAAACAAATAAACTCATTGTCATCCTTAAACCCTTGCACACAATCTCTAATCCACTCACACACAACTGGAAACATTAAAATAATAAAAGTTAAATTATAATTAAGAAACAAAGAAAAGAGAAAAAAAAATGAAAAGATTCTCTACAACAAATCTTAATAATTATTAACCAAAGAAATTTTACCTCTACTACTACATAATCTCCTGGCTGGGGGTGCAGGTTTTCTGAGCCGAGAGGGATGCTAGGAAACACAACTCTTGTGTTGGCATCATTAAGTCCTGATAAATCTAGGGATGATTTCCTGCTTTCCTGGAGGAAGAAACATAAAAATGCAAAATTGAAAAAAATATAATTAAAACTAAAATTGCTAGCTCTCTACTTCGAGTTTCTATCTATTTTTTATTCTGGAGGCTCTGCTCCTCCTGTTAGTTAAATAATCAATAGCAAATTAAATCCGACACTTACCCCCTCAAATAAAACCAACTGTTTCTGACCAATCAGAAAATTACCCTATCAAATGAAACCAACTGTTTCTGACCAATCAGAAACTTACCCCCTCAAATAAAACCAACTGTTTCTGACCAATCTGACATTTACCCCTTCAAATAAGACCAACTGTTTCTGACCAATCAGAAACTTACCCCCTCAAAAAAGACCAACTGTTTCTGACCAATCTTACACTTACCCCCTCAAATAAAACCAATTGTTTTTTACCAATCCGACACTTACCCCCTCAAATAAGACCAACTGTTTCTGACCATTCAGACACTTACCCCCTCAAATAAGACCAACTGTTTTTTACCAATGAGACACTTACCCCTTCCACTAAGACCAACTGTTTTTCACCAATCAGACTCTTGTGGCGGATGTCAGCATGCACACGGTATCTGTCAAACAGTTCAAGGTGTCTTCTACTTTTCACATCTTTTGGAACATTATCTTGTAAACGATGATAGGCTTTTGTTTTCTAAAATGGTCATGGAAATTTCTGTTTTAGTTTTTAAATTGGTCAATATTTTTATTCAGGTGGCAAGAAATTTCAGACATTCTTAAAAATTGTAAATTACTCAATTTTTTTATGTTATCTCAAAAAACTAATTTTGTTAAAAATAATTTCTCCTAATGCTTTAAGTAATTTTAAAGCATTATGTCTGTTTTTAAGTGAAAAATTTTGCATGATGGACATACAACTACAACATTTTATTTGGGTTAAAATTTGCAATAGGCAAGGCAGCTATGCTTGAGAATGAAAACTTGAGTAAAATTGCTATCCTGTCTGTGGGTTACATAGATTCACTATGAACCTAACCAAAGCAAATATAGCATTCTGACACCAGGCCTAACTGGTACATTCTGATACCAGACCTAACTGGGACATTCTGACACCAGGAGTAACTGGGACATTCTGACACCAGGCCTAACTGGGAAATTCTGATGCAAACATAAGGTACAATTTAAAATGCTGTAACTCTTAGGAAATAAGGTTTAAGCTAAAATGTTAAACACTGAAGAAACAAAACAAGACTGTTCACCTGTCTCATGCTGTATGGAAAACAGAAAGCATAATTATATTTGACAATGTCGATAAGTGACAATGTGTCCTGGTGAGCCTCCTCTGTCTCACCACAGAAGCCAGCAATGAAGTCACTGGACAAGCTGACACCTTGGAACAGCACAAAGAGAATAATCACAGCATTAGATAAAAACACACATTTCAATTATTACTTGATAACGCTTCTAACACATTAGAAAAAAAAAAGTTTGGCAAGTTAGTTGACAGGAGAAGCCAGAGATTTACCTGGCAAAATACTTCTGATGTGTTGGACCAACAGCAGATATGCCTCTCTGGTGTATCCCCTCCCCATGGAAGCCAGAACATCGGAGTTGCCACTTTGAGCAGGAAGATGAATTTGTTTGCAGATGTTGGGGTAGTTCAGCATAGTCTGCAGCACCTGACACATGATTATAAAATGACTGAAGTTAAATTTAATTCTATATAGTATAGTAGAATTGTATCTCAATTACTCAAACTAAGCCTTAAAAATAACTTTGATGGCTAAAACTATGTCAATGACTTTTTGATAATTTTAAACTCCTTCTATGCAACTACTAACAGACTCCTGATAATAAAAATGTGTTTTTCTTAAATTATAGTTCAAAATAAATCTTTGACAGCTTAATGAATGTTCCTATTGTAATGAGGGTTCCTGTTGTAATGAAGGTTCCTGTTTTAATGACGGTTCCTGTTGTAATGAATGTTTCTGTTGTAATGACGGTTCCTGTTGTATTGACGGTTCCTGTTGTAATGACAGTTCCTGTTGTAATGAAGGTTCCTGTTGAAATGAAGGTTCCTCTTGTAATGACGCTTCCTGTTGTAATTATGGTTCCTGTTGAAATGAAGGTTCCTGTTGTAATGACAGTTCCTGTTGTAATGACGGTTCCTGTTGAAATGAAGGTTCCTGTTGTATTGACGGTTCCTGTTGTAAATTAATGTTCCTGTTGTATTGACGGTTCCTGTTGTAAATGAAGGTTCCTGTTGTATTGACGGTTCCTGTTGTAAATTAATGTTCCTGTTGTATTGACGGTTCCTGTTGTAAATTAATGTTCCTGTTGTATTGACGGTTCCTGTTGTAAATGAAGGTTCCTGTTGTATTGACGGTTCCTGTTGTAAATTAATGTTCCTGTTGTATTGACGGTTCCTGTTGTAAATTAATGTTCCTGTTGTATTGACGGTTCCTGTTGTAAATGAAGGTTCCTGTTGTATTGACGGTTCCTGTTGTAAATTAATGTTCCTGTTGTATTGACGGTTCCTGTTGTAAATTAATGTTCCTGTTGTATTGACGGTTCCTGTTGTAAATGAAGGTTCCTGTTGTATTGACGGTTCCTGTTGTAAATTAATGTTCCTGTTGTATTGACGGTTCCTGTTGTAAATTAATGTTCCTGTTGTATTGACGGTTCCTGTTGTAAATGAAGGTTCCTGTTGTATTGACGGTTCCTGTTGTAAATTAATGTTCCTGTTGTATTGACGGTTCCTGTTGTAAATTAATGTTCCTGTTGTATTGACGGTTCCTGTTGTAAATGAAGGTTCCTGTTGTATTGACGGTTCCTGTTGTAAATTAATGTTCCTGTTGTATTGACGGTTCCTGTTGTAAATTAATGTTCCTGTTGTATTGACGGTTCCTGTTGTAAATTAAGGTTCCTGTTGTATTGACGGTTCCTGTTGTAAATTAATGTTCCTGTTGTATTGACGGTTCCTGTTGTAAATTAATGTTCCTGTTGTAATGACGGTTCCTGTTGTAAGTTTATTTCTCTGTTTATGATTACCTCATCAGGAAAATCTTTTGGATGGGGTGAAGTGAATCTGATCCTCATTTCTGGGTTGACTTCTGCTACAGCTTTCAGCAATGCTGCAAATCTGAGCCCTCCAGTCTTGGGTTTATAAACAGTGCTAAATCCTGGAAGTCAATACAAATCAAGTTGATAAATGCCTGAAATACAATTTTACAGTCCATATCTAGCACATCATCTAAAAAACTCAGTGACTCAAATTTCAATGACTGAGTATGGATATGATAAGAAAGAATATTTTTAATGCCCCTTGTTCCAACATAATAAAGAATACTTTCAGCTTTTAAAGTTATGTCTTGTTTTCATCGACTTTCTTCATTTAATTGCATTCATGTTTATTGCTTGCAGCTTTATGTCTGTGTAAAATTTAACTAAGCAGACTATTAAGTTTACGAGACTAATGAACAAGCAATGAAAACAATTACATTATATTGAAATTTGGTGATTTGAGGATTAAAATTGTGTGTAACTGAAGATAATTTTTGAATATATTTATATAATCAATTATTAATACGTTTTTACAGTAAACAAAGCTTTTATTGCAAAAAAAAAATAATTGCTAAAGAGTAAGGTCATTATAAAACGAATCAACATGTTATACATAGTTTTGTTGTTATTTGATGCGGTCCATGACCAGGCACTGACAAGTATTACCTAGCCAAAAGATAGCTACGAATCAAATATAATGTAGGTTCTTACCTGTACTAAGTTGAGTAGACTCACTGTTTTGATCACCAGCTTCCATTGACAAATCTCTGTAACTGTTCACATTTTGTCCTAAAAGAGTTACATTTTTGACCCCCTGCACAAAACAAAAATATATGAGATGAAGACATGACCTAATTTGTTTTTTTTTCAATCTTTTCATCAGTTTATAAAAAAGAAATGAAACAATTTAAGTCTTTGAACTTAAACTGATCTTTGTTTTAATTATTTTTTGAAAATCTATAAAAATATGTCATGGGAAAACAATATATTTAAGCACTTTATGACCTGTTCAGATAAGATGTTAATCTCTTCTACAATTGAAGAAATCGGTCGACTCCTTTCACGTCCACGAGTGAAAGGTACGATGCAGTAAGTGCACATGTTGTCACAGCCTCGCATTATTGATCTGATTTAGTACAAAAAATGAAACTGCTAATAATGCAGGTAAATTTTTTAAATTATATCAAGCAAAATTTAAGCACAAAGATAGGATTCCTTTAGATTTTAGCAATAGTTTATCATTTTAGAAACTAAAATCAAATATTTTTCATGCCCATCACTTACACAAAAGCTGAAGGACTGTCTGAGTTAAGACGCACTGGCACAACATCTGCGTACGTCTCTTCCAAAGATAGTTGAACATTCACTTGGAGAAAAAATATAAATAAATTGAAATAAGGTACTCAATACACATTTTAAAAGTAAAGAGCAAAACTCATGAGAAAGTTTGGCTAATTTTGTAACAATTTCAAATTTGTTATTAATTTATTAGTTTAAAATTTTATGGGACCCATAAAGAGACAGCCAATTTGTTTTGAGAAAATAAGTTTTTAAGTTTTGAGATTTTTTAGTAAAAAGATGTTTATTTATTCCATATCCTTAAAGATGAAAGGTCTTAACAGTTTATAAGGAAATCAGAAATTATAGGTAATCTGAGTTTCCTAATCAAACTGAATGAATAACCTGTTTCCTGGTTTCATGCTAAAAATAGTTATAAGAAATATACCTGCAGCTGCATCTGAAGTGTAAACCTCAGTCAGCAATCGAGGTAAGTCTCTGTAGGCATCGGGGCCACAAACTATGTCTACCATTTTTTCTTTTTCTAAAATTTTGTGCTTTAGACGCTCAGCCATACAACCTGAAATGGTGGTAAAAAATGGGCCAAAAGTTGAGATGACATTTTATGGAGTGTTCTTAGAAAACATGGCGCAACTGGTATCAGAAGTTATTTTCCTTTTTTAAGATCCATTTAGCATTTTGAATGCTTATTAATTTTGTCAAAATTGTAATTTTCACTAAAAAATAACACTTTAAAAAATGGCTAATATCAGACAAAAAAACGTTAACACCAATTAAATGTAAAATGGTCAATATGTCACAAATTACTATCTATTTATAATTAATCAGTGCCACTAGATGATATTTTATAATGAAACTTGAATTTCAAAGGTGTGGAGTGCAATATATAATAAAAGCAGGTGAAACAGTTGGAATAAAAATTGATTGAATCTTTTTCACACAAAAAATTCTGACTACTAAGCTACTTATTTTCAGATATTCATTACCAAGAATATCATCACAGACTTTCTTCAACCTTCTATATTAACCATTGAGACAATATTATCAAGCATTCCGTAAAAAATGTTGGCAGAAGGTATGTCAATTTGTATTCATTAAGTGCTGCAAAGTAATTATTTAATAAGCTAAAAAATTGTATACAGACTTTTCCTCT